AGAGGGGATGCTATAATATAGATAAATTCAAGGTAAAATATTTATGTTTTGTTTCTTTCCTGTTTTCAGTCTTTTCCCTCTTCTTAACTTTCCTAATACTTCTTCATTGTTATTCCGTTTATAGAACGGGTACTTTTACTAGTAATAAGAATAAGTACTGTTTTGAGTTTTAGTTTTTTCGCTTTAGTAACTGTTTTACGGCACAAACACACAAAAAAGGAGGAGGGATCAGGACGATACATGTCTGATAGGAAAGAAGAAGCAAACCACACCAGAGCACACACCAACCACCCGCTGTTTTGAGTTTTAGGGAACGACTTTTACAAGAAAACATTCAACACGATAAGGTCATATATTATATTCGCGCCCAAGACCAGAGGTGTTATGAGCGAGTAATAAATACAAAAGAGAAGGGACAGAGACTTTTTTTTTAAAGAAAGGAGAGAGGTAAGGACGATGAGTGTTTGTTGATGGGAAAGAAGGAGTTAATCATACAAAAGCACCCGCCAACCACCTACAAAATAGAATCCTTTAAAAAATTGATTTGAGCCCGGATTCACAACAGTTACCCTACTATACCACCACCTTAAATAAACAAACAAACAAACAAAACAGACAACAACAGAACTGTCCCACACTCACGGTAACCTTGACTTCTTCACACAGTTGTTGCCCAGGTCGGCCACTACGAACAAGCAAACAAACAAACACACAAACACACAACATAAAATGTCCCACACGTGTGGTTACCTGTATTACGCAAACAAACAAACGAACGAACAATCTGTCCCACACCCATAGTTACCGGTACTACTTGTAACAAACAAACAAACAAACAAACAAACAAACAAACAACAAACTCTAGCTAGTTACCTGTTACCTGTACTACTTGTAACAGACAAACAAACGACCAAACAAAAAAAAACAAACAAACAAACAAACTCTAGTCACCTGTACTACTTGTAATAGAACTTCTTGACACAGTTGTTGCCCAGGTCGGCCACCACGATCCTGTAGTCTGTCAGCACGGCCAGGCCGCTGGGCCTCCTCAGCCGGTCGCTGTGGCTGTCGATCGAGTACAGCAGCTTGCCGTTGGAATGAAACACGTGCACGAAACTCCGCCCACCCCCGCTAGACCCGCCCCCTCCTCCACTCCCTTTCTCCTTTGCAGAAGAAGAAGATGAAGAGGAGGAGGAGGAGGGACCAGCCCCTGAGTTTCTATCCGACTTGGAGGATTTCTCCGTCTTGGTGGCGAGAACGTTCCCCGCGCTGTCCACAGCGATCCCCCCGTACGATCCGGAGCCGGGGTCCACCAGCTTCCGCGAGTACTTCCCGTCCTTGGTGAAGATCTGGATCCGGTGGTCGGCCACCAGGATCTCGTCGTTCTTGCCCACGCACAGGCCCGAAATGACCTTGAACTGGCCGTCCTTGTCCCCGTGGCTGCCGAAGGTGGTGACCAGATTGCCCGAAGTGTCGAACTTGAAGATCTTCTTGGCGCCGCTGTCGGCGACCACGACCTCGCCGCGGGAGTTGACGGCCACGTCGATGGGCTCCACGAAGCCGGGCGTGGTGAAGGATCTGACTAGACTCCCGTCCTCCGGGCTCAGCACGCTCACCATCTTGGAGCGCCAGTTGATCACCACCAGCTGGCCGCTGGACATGACGGACAGGCCCGTGGCGCTCTGCTGTTCCACGCCGGCCGGCCCCAAGTGACGCAGCACGCTCCCGTCTCGCCCCAGCACCACAATCCGGCTGTTACCCGTATCCAGCACGTAGACAACGTCCCCCTCTGCCCCCGCGGCGATGCGCACCGGCTGGTTCAACTGTTCCTGACCCGTACCCCTCGACCCGAACCGCCACACGGGGTCTATATGCTCCGACACCTCTATACTCAGCGGACTGTTCTTAATCGGACGCCCGAATATATTGGCCGTCATCTTCAACTTCCCGGGCTTCGACGGCAGATACAACACGTCGTAGGTCCCGTCATCATTGTCTTTGACCTTCGAGTCCACCAGATCCCCTTTCTCGTTCCGGATATCCACAAACACGGGGTCCCCTCCGTTCGTCCGGAGATTGCCGTGATAATCCGTGGTGATAATCCGCACGGAGCAGCGTAGGTGGGCGGTGGCTCGCTTGGCCTCGGCCGTGGTGAGCGCCGGGAAGGTGGTGCTCACGCGGATGTTGCCGAAGTTGCTGATGGCCTTGGCCACCTCCCGCAGCGCGTCGTTGTGCTTGTACTCGTAGTGCAGGAACGAGTTCTCGCGCGGCTCCGACAGCGTGCTGGTCGTGTCCAGCTTCTCGTTCAGGTCACTGATCTTTTTGGTGATGTTCCGGACCTCCACCT